ATTGACCTAGCCTGGGGTAGGGTCAGCCTCGCCGAACTTAACAATTGAGAGTAAGGATCCAGCAGCCCCCAAAAGACAGTTGACACAGAATTGAACGTGGAAAGGAGACTAAATGCTGGGCTTGCTTGCTGAGCTTACAGAACCCTCACAAGTCCACTATCACTGGGGTGACCATGGAATTCAATGTAGGATGCCTCCCCTGCCCCCCACCTAACCAGTCTGGAATCTTTTCAGAATAAAAGAGGGCACTTTAAATAGTTATGTCAGAGCAACAGGTGTATTCATGACTTTTCTTGTTGCTGTGTCAAAGTAACTGACAAACAATTTGAGGAAAGAAGGGTCACACACAGGCCGCAGGCCGCACTGCCTCTGCAGTCGGGATGCAGAGGGAGGTGAATGCTGCTACTCCCGACTTTCTCCCTTGTATCCAGTCCTGGACCCTGACCCAAGAGCCAGTGCTATCCACATTGAAAGTCAAATCTCTTCAGAAATACCTTCACAGAAACACTCAGAGGTAGGTTTCCATGGCGATTCTACATTCAGGCAAGTTGACCAGCAATACTGACCACTACAACAGGGTTAGAGCAAGACTCTCCTAGGAAACTAACATTGCTTTAACTGCAGCAGACCAGAGCCCAGGCCGTGGAGAGCCGCGCCATCTGAGCCCTGGGACCTACCAATTGAATCCTGCTGGCTCTCTGGGCACAGATAGGGGAAGGTACTCGGGGCTCATATCTTGGCTGCACTGGAGGGTGACAGGGTGGGATGAGGACATATTGAGAGACAAGCTGCACGTTTCCACATCTACCCAAACTCTGCTCTTGCCATACTTTTTCCTCCCGCCTTCCACTACTATGTCTGCTCATACTGTGCGTCCCACCTAGGGTCAGCAATACCTCTTCTAAGTTCCTCACATCCATCCAAAGCTCCCCAGAGTCCCTATATCACCTGCCTCAGCCTTCTCTGGTTTCTGTAGCATCCCTGGGCTCTGCTAAGGCTTCCTTTGGGGTATGGTTCCTTTCTTTCCTGTTGGGTAAGGGATTTTTGTAGGGTCTAGTTTGTTTCCTGGCTTCTGCTACCTATCCCTCAGCAGTACTGACCAAAAACCCCCAGGAGTTGACTCTGCCAGTCTGACTGCCAAGCTGTCTGCCTCCCTTGAACCCAGAGCCCGCTCCCCTCCCAATGTGCTGCTGGTATCAGTCACTCAGAGAGTCAATGAGCTTCTCACGCAAAGGCATATAAACTTTGACCTCGGATTGGGTGTTAAACTCTGTGCCAAGGTCTCCAAACCTTCTGCCTGTCAATTAGTGAGGGATTAGAGGGCCCCATTCCTCCCATTGTGGCTGTTAGCCCAGACAAGCCTTGGTGATAGTGAATGTAAGACCCCCACTACCGCAGTGCACAGGGTCTGGGCAGATGAAGGTCTTGGCTTAGAGCCTGAGCTTGTCGCCCTGGGGCTCCCCTTAGCAGGAAGAGCCATTGCCCGGAAGCAAGATGCCAGAATTTTAGGTTCTGATGTCATCTGCCACAGGTCACTGGGCCTGTTCTTTCTGGCGTCAGTTTCTCCAGCTGAGAAGTAAAAGGAGGACTGGTTTTATTAGCTAATAAAGTGTTTGGAGTCAAGAGTCTGGCAGAGGTCATGAGCCAAGCAGTGGGGCTTCCTGTGTTCCTGGCTGTGTGGAACTAGGCCTTCCAGCCATGAGGAGCAGGCTTCCACAACACTCTGGAGCTAAGGTACCGGTAGGGACAACAGAAATAAGAGGAAGAGAGTGATTGTAGAGCAGGCGGAGGGATCTAGAAGTGTCTTGCTCCTGCTGGAGGCCAGGATTTACTTCTACATAAGCTCTTTCAGCCCCCTGGTTCTTGGTCCAAAGTGGGTACGATGAAGTTTCTTAGGCTGAGTCAGAGATGCAGTGAGTGGAATGCCTGTAAAGATGCTGAGAAGACCCACGTTGCCTCCTATGTCCCCTGCTTGTCCTGTTGCCTAATTTATCTTCCCTTTCTTTTTTTTTTATTGTATTTTATTTTTTGGTTTTTCGAGACAGGGTTTCTCTGTGTAGCTTTGGAGCCTGGCCTCGAACTCACAGAGATCCGCCTGGCTCTGCCTCCCGAGTGCTGGGATGAAAAGTGTGCGCCACCGCCTCCCAGCTATATCCCCCCTTTCTTTTCTCTCTTTGTTGCTGTTCCTCCTTTTTATTTTTTCCAGTCTTGCTATGTCTGTTACCTATGTACTCCTGGCTGTCCTAACGTTACTATGTAGCCCAGGCCAACCTTGAAGTCATGAAAATCCTCTTGCTTCAGCTTCCCAAGTATTAGGGTTAAAGGTATGTACTACCATGCCCAGCGCTCGTTGCCTAATTTTTATCATTGCACACTTGGGGTTCAGTACCACTGCTGCCATGTCCCCATCTGATCATGCAGTTTTGGCAGTCATGTCTACCTCACAAAGACTTGTATGTCTGATTAATTTTCCACATGCGGATTTTCTGCATTGGGGCACAGAGGAAGAACAGGCAGGGTGGATGAGGGTCACAGCTATGGGGTCAGATGTCCTGAGGATGGCTATGGAGAAGTTCTGGAACTGACATCAGGTGGAATCTAACTTGCTGTGGAAAAGATGCAGAAAGGGATCCAGGGGGAAGCCATGTTTCATTTAAGACTCAGAATTGGGACTGCTAGATGCCTCCATGGGCAGACCTGGTAGATTCTGCAAGAGATTCTGGTTTCTATCTTCAGATGCTCGAAGGATTTAAGCAAAAGTGACGACAGAAAGTTTCTGCACATTCTGGGAGGCACCGTGGGGAAGAAGGAGTTGGAATAGTCAAAAAGCAAAGGGGAGCAGCGACAGGGACCTGGATGAGACTGTGGCCATGGGGCTAGACAGATGTCGAAATGGACAGAATTATTCTTGGCCCTTCCGTCTATTTCCAGCACAGAAGCCTGAGCAATCTTACTCAGCTCACACCTCGTCCACACTACATAGTCTCATCTTCCTCGTGGGGGTGCTTCTTGCATGGGGGCAAATGTCAGGACACCTCCCCCATTCCTACAACCTCTACACATAACTAGCCCCTCTGGAACCACAGTGTTTAGGATGCACCCTCTGTCTCCAGGTAGGCACCTGGGAGGTTGGATTCTTCATTGCACTTTTACCCATACTCAGTGTCATCTCAGAGCGCACGCGCCAGGCCACCCCATTTGCAGTTGTAAACTGGCCCCTGCTTATCATTTTAGTTTTCTATCCCCCCCCCCCTTTTTTTTTTGCACCATGCCAGGTCTCTGTGTTTTGTTGCTTATCACCTGTCTCCCTCCTGCAGAGGGTAAACTCAGTCAAAGGGGCATTGTTAGATTCGTGCCTAGTGTCCAGCGCATAGTAGGCACTTGCGAATATTTGGGCAATGCCAGAGGGTGGCATGTGACTGGAGGGGGAGGTGAGGGTGGTGGATAAGGTTTTTGTTTTTTTCTGGTTTGGTCACAGAGCAGATGTCAGTGTTATATCTGGGCTCAAGGCTCACAGGGGAGGGCAGGTGAAGATGTTAGGAACAGACTGAACTGAGTTAACAAGTTTAGTTTTTCTCCTTAGACATCTTTCTTTGGGAGCACTCTTCAGGGCCAGAGAGTGCCTGCAAAGCAGCTAGCTAGGCGTGCCGGGTGGTGCTGCGTGTCTTGCCACTAAAAATGTGGACACACGCTGTCAGGCCTTTGCTCTCAGGCAGAAGCCAAGCTCCGCACGCAAACCTGGCCCTTTGCACCGCCCTAGCAAAGCTTAGACTACTTCTATCTCTCAAGCCCCACCCCAACGCCCTAAGAGAGACTGGCCCTTTAAGAGCCTCACCCCGGTTCCCCTCCCCCGCTAGCGTGACTACACTGGGACCCGCGCCCGGTTGTGAGCTGGGTAGCTGGGTGGCTGCACGCGGGCCTCCAGTTCCTTCTCACGCTACTCACAGCACCTCGCCCCCAGTAGGTGGGGCTGGGACAGGCAGGCCGACCTCTGCCCCCGGAGGAACGAGCAGGCTCACGCACGCACTCCCCAAGAGCCTGCGTGCACCAAGCATCCCCCTTTGTGGCCCCTGATCCTCTTGCCAGCTCGCGTGAATCCTCCCTCCACCCTTTCCTCCACTCTCCGCCGCTAGCTCCGCAGCTACCCATCGCCTGATTTCTCTATGTGGTCTGCTTCTGTATGCAAAACACTAGCAAGCCCCGGGAGCCCAGAGGGAGCTGCAAGAGGGGTCTCCAACGCTTGTAGCTTGCCTAAAGTGACCCTAGAGGTGCTATCCGTACGCCTGCCATCCATCCCCACCCCTAGATCAAGCAGCACGAACTTCGGCCGGTCCCCAATCTGTGAAGGACAGAGTCAGTCCAATGGCGCCACTGGCCTTCCTGTCCGTGACCTCGGGGCTGGGGTCGTTGCGCTTCTCACGCGAGTTTGGACTCAGGAGCCAGGGAAGGAAAGTCACCAAGTCACCACCCAGCAGTTCTCCTTCCACTAGCCTTTCCTGGCACCCATTGGCTTGTAGTGGGCGAGAGGATCTTACACACCCAGTGTTTTCGGGGTGCAAAAATAGTGGACCCCCGTGGCCCGGAATGGAGCCCCCAGTACTCGGTTTTTAGGCTGCCCCAGGATTTCCGCTCAACCGCCCCCCAAGCAGGATTCTGTGCTGTCCATGGAGCACCTTGAAAGTGGGGGTGACCCCAGCCTTCACTTTTTTATGTGCCCACACCTGTATCAGATGTCCCCATAATGGCTTCTTGCCAATCTCACCCCCCACTCCTGCCTAGAGCGTTCCCTAAGGCTGCCCCTCCCTCTGTCCCATCACTGGGCTCCAGGGGAGAGGGCGTGGCCACAGACACCGAGTCCTATAAAGGTGGTGATGCCTTCACCCTGACCTTGAAGGTGGTAGTTCCTTGGAGCCTTCCCTGATCCTCCTTGGGGTCCCCAGCGAACACTCTTCAGTTCAGCACCTCCTCACAGCCAAAGGTGAGTACTGGGAGCTCCTGGCTTGGCTCTTCTTCCCAATAAAAGGATAGTTTGGATGAGGGGGTGCCGGGTAGCCCCTCCATGATAAGAGACTAAAAGCCTTTTTTTGTGAGCAGGCAAATTCCTTAGGGGAGAAACTGAGCCCAAAGAACTAAAAGGACTTGCCTAAGTTCCAGTAGCTAGTGTCAGATCTTTATATAGAAATGAGATAAATACCCTCCGCTTCCAGGTCAACTCCCACTGCCTCACTGATCGCTGGGGGCTTCCTCGTCCCTGCACCGTGTAGCTCTTTCCTCGGGACTGCCGGTGGGGGAGAGGGCTCCTCTCTGCGTGGATAGGGGAGATGCATTGAGCTTTTTCTAGCTGTTCTCTGTCTTATTTAAAAACTACCCCTGATAGTCTGTACCCTCCCAAAGGGTAGCAAGTCAGAGCTAAGAGTTTCTGGCTGGCCTCAGCAGGAGCTTTGGCACCACCCACTACTCAGGGGTTCCCTATCCCACGCACAGTCTCTTCCATCCTTACAGGGGTACAATCAGCTTGATAGACTGCTAGCTGGTGGAAATATGAGTTGCATTTCCCCCTGGCTCTTCCATCTTCCAAAGGGGATGCCAATTATGTTGAAGGGGAAACTATGGCATACACAGGGGGACAGTATCCCCACTTCACTGAAGGAAGATACTGAGTCTCCAGCATGCTTTGAGAGTCACCTTCTCCAGGAAGCCCCTTCCCCTTCAAGGTGACTGTAGTCTTTGGGGGAGGAACTGTACATCTTCTTGTCTTATGTGGTTCAGAGCTTGTCCTAGGATCTGTGCTCTCTGAATTGGGCAAACTTTATTTTTGTTTGTTTGTTTGTTTGTTTTTCGAAATAGGGTTTCTCTGTTTGGCTCTAGCTGTCCTAGAACTGGCTCTGTAGACCAGGCTGGCCTCAAACTCAGAGATCCATCTGCCTCTGCCTCCTGAGTGCACCACCTCCCAGCTGACTTGGGCAATCTTCTCTTACTTCTCTCGGTTACATAATCAAAGCTTCAAAGGTAAAAGGACTGGTCCAGGACCACCCGGACCACATTTCACTGCAAAGTGACTCTCCTGACTGGGCAGAGCAGTAGAGCAGACTGTAAAGTTGCATACCTTTTCTGGAACAAGCCTAAAGAGAAAGTGTCCTCTCAGTTCTGGTTAAGTTTAGATCCGTTCTTGGTTTTTCTGATTCCAGTCAGTAGTTTTCTTACAGCCCTAACCTAGTGGGAATCTTCTATTTACTTACTTACTTACTTATTTATTTATTTATTTATTTATTTATTTATTTATTTATTTATTTATTTATTTATTTATTTATTGCTTTCTTATGACCTGCAAAAGTGGGGGAAGCCAGGCTATTCATTCATGAGCAATGAGCACAACAAAAAGCCTGGCCTGGATTACTGTTATTCGGAGCCGTATCTATCTGCTTTTGAAGTGTGGCTCGGCTGAGCTGGGAGAACCAGACCTGAGAGTAACGGGCCTTGGGGATTGGTTGTCTGTGCCCTCTCCCATTCCTGTCCTCTACTGGGGTTAAGTGACCATCTTTAGACCCTGCGATGAACATGGAGAACTGAGAACTCGAATGTTTTCACTCTCAAAGGGAGGCACCTGTGATGGTAGCTGGACGTTCCATGGAGCTTTCCCTAAGAGCTCTCTCGCGATTGCTGACTGACTTGGGCAAGTCAGTGCCCCATTTGCAGGTTTAGTTCCCCCTAGAGTATGAAATGAGGCCAAAGGAGCAAATGATCTCTAATTCCCCGATAAGATGGCTTTTCCAAAGGTGGCGGGTAGGACCCAAAGAGACCCTTTGGGTGATATGTGTTAACTGTGCATTTATTGGAATGGGTTGGGGGGGAGATCAAAGCTGTATTTAGACACAGAGATTGTTTAGGATGATGCTACCTGGTGGATGTAAAGCTGATTTTAGAAAATACAAAGTAAATGACAGCATTGAAGTTAATGGAAACCATAGACATTGGAAGTCACTGTTTGAAATCCCACAGTTGCCGGGCAGTGGTGGCACATGCCTTTAATCCCAGCACTTGAGAGGCAGAGCCAGGCGGATCTCTGTGAGTTCAAGGCCAGCCTGGTCTAGAGAGTGAGATCCAGGACAGGCACCAAAACTGCACAGAGAAACCCTGTCTCAAAAAAAAAAAAAAAAAAAAAAAAAAAAAAAAAAAAAAAAAGACAGAAATCTCACAGTAGTAAAGAGAGGTTTTCTGGAAGTGAGTGACTTGGGTTGAAAATGTACCCAAACTTCCTACCTGTGTAGCTTTGAGAATGTTACTTACCCTCTCTGTCTTACTGAAGCCTTCCTTCCTCATAAGCTTAGGGCTAGGATTGAATAAAAAAAAAAAAAGACTGTGTGAGTGGGAAGAATATGATCAACATATATCGTATGAAAAAACCAAGACCAAATCACACTTAGCTTCCAGGGTACTGAGACTTCTCTACAAGAGAGCTTAGTCCACCTGATCCTAGCCTTTCTGTGTGTGGGAAAAAAGAACTGTGGAATTTTGGGCACACAGTGGCAGCTCAACAAACCATCTCTGTCTCTCTCCATGCCCGGTAGGCAGCTCTAGGTGGAAGGCTTCTCCTTTCTTTAACCAGCACGGTACCACTTCAGGATACTCATCCCTCACCCTCAGTCTGATGGTCTGTCTTTTCTTTCTTCTTGCCTAATCTCTCAGCAGCCACCTAGATCATGCCTTCCATGTATGGACTTCTAGACTCCATGTCAGCCACAGAGCTGCTCCTGGCCATCACCATCTTCTGCCTTGGATTCTGGGTGGTCAGAGCCACAGGGACTCGGGTTCCTAAAGGCCTGAAGACTCCACCTGGACCCTGGGGATGGCCCCTTATTGGGCATATATTGACCCTGGGGAAGAACCCACACCTATCACTGACAAAGCTGAGCAAGCAGTATGGGGATGTACTGCAGATCCGCATTGGCTCCACACCTGTGGTGGTGCTGAGTGGCCTGAACACCATCCGGCAGGCCCTGGTGAAGCAGGGTGAAGATTTCAAGGGCCGGCCAGACTTTTACAGTTTTAATTTCATCAGTAATGGCCAGAGCATGGCTTTCAACCCAGATTCTGGACCAGTATGGGCTGCCCGGCGGCGCCTGGCCCAGAATGCCTTGAAGAGTTTCTCCATAGCCTCAGACCCAGCTTCTGCATCCTCTTGCTATTTGGAGGAGCATGTGAGCAAGGAGGCTGAATACCTAGTCAACAAGTTCCAGAAGCTGATGGCAGAGGTTGGCCACTTCGACCCTTATAGGTATTTGGTAGTGTCTGTGGCCAATGTCGTCTGTGCCATGTGCTTTGGCCAACGTTATGACCATGATAACCAAGAGCTGCTTAGCATAGTCAACCTGAGCAATGAGTTTGGGGAAGTTACTGGCTCTGGATACCCGGCTGACTTCATCCCTGTCCTCCGCTACCTGCCTAACTCTTCCCTGGATGTCTTCAAGGACTTGAATAAGAGGTTCTACAGCTTTATGCAGAAGTTAATCAAAAACCACTACCGAACGTTCGAGAAGGTAGAGGCTTGGGAGAAGCAGGTGGTGGTCAGGGAAGCAAGTAGGGTCTGGGGCCAGAACGCCACAGACAAGCCTGAAGCCAGGAGCAGGGTGCACTCCCTCCTCAGAAGGTCACTAGAGCTTTTCTTGGCTAATCCCTCTGTGTGGCCATCGGACAAGAGCCACTGAATAGGAGGAGCCCTGGGCCACTTCTTGCTGGACCAGGAAGAGTTAAGGAACCTGTCTCCTGGCCTCACGGTAGAAAAACATTAAAGAACATCTAATTACTAAGAGTGTGTCAGGTTCTGTGCCTCGAGAGTCTCTTGAGCTGGGGCCATCAGTTCTCTGAGGTAGGAAAGAGACTTGGAGAGGCCAAGGGAGGCTAGGAAAGCAGCTTCAGAGTGTCATTTCTTGAACAGGTTGCTAATGACTGGGAGGGACCAGGCCTAGATGGAGAGGTAGGTCTGGACTGTAGTGGGTAGCCATTCATTCACTTTGTGCTCCTTTGTCTCCCAGGGCCACATCCGGGACATCACAGACAGCCTCATTGAGCACTGTCAGGACAAAAGGTTGGATGAGAATGCCAATGTCCAGCTGTCGGATGATAAGGTCATTAGTATCATTTTTGACCTCTTTGGAGCTGGTATGTGCTCTTCAGTGTATAATTTCTGTGCTCAGGTAGCCGAAGCTGCCGCATACCTAACTTCTCCCTCTCTTCTGTCCTGTTCAGGGTTTGACACAGTGACAACTGCTATCTCTTGGAGCCTCATGTACCTGGTTACAAACCCTAGGGTACAGAGAAAGATCCAGGAAGAGCTAGGTAGGTGGTGGCTCCATTCAAAGGACTCTAAGTGGGGGACTCTGATAAAGTCTTGGCAACCCCTTAATCTTCTTGAATCCCTGTATTCTGTAGACACCGTGATTGGCAGGAGTCGGAGGCCCCGGTTTTCTGACAGATCTCAGCTGCCCTATCTGGAGGCCTTCATCCTGGAGGTTTTCCGGCATTCATCCTTCACCCCTTTCACCATCCCCCACAGGTCAGGCAGGCCATAGAGCCATTGATATTTGATACTAGACCTTAGTCTAGTGTGCACAGTGAGTCGGAGCTCCTGGGAGGGACATGGCATGGGGAACGGGGAGATTTCTCCTGTGGCCCTGAGCCTGACTGAGCTTCCTCTTTCCCCAGCACCACAAGAGACACAAGTCTGTGTGGATTCTATATCCCCAAGGGACGTTGTATCTTTGTGAGCCAGTGGCAGATTAACCACGACCAGTAAGTTGACGGGGCAGTGGAAACTCCTGGGTGGGTTAGGTCCATCCTCTCCTGGGCTTCAGACCCTCCTGCCCCTTGGAAATGACCTAATTGATACTTATAAGCCCCTGATCATCTACTTCAACTATCTCCTTTTGCTTACAGGGAACTGTGGGGTGACCCAGACAACTTTCGTCCTGAAAGGTTTCTCACCTCCAGTGGCACTCTGGACAAAGCCTTGAGTGACAAAGTCATTCTCTTTGGATTGGGCAAGCGGAGGTGCATCGGGGAGACCATTGGCCGATTGGAGGTCTTTCTCTTCCTGGCCATCTTGCTGCAGCAAATGGAATTCAACGTGTCACCAGGAGAGAAGGTGGATATGACTCCTATTTATGGACTGACTTTAAAGCATGCCCGTTGTGAGCATTTCCAAGTGCAGATGCGGTCTTCTGAGCTTCAGCATCTCCAGGCTTAGACTGTCCTGTAGTCCCCAGACCAGGGGGCTGTTCCAGGGATTTAACAGATTCTGGGGAGTTGTGCCTGCCTTCTACTTTGGACTTGCTTTTCTATATGCTGATCTCAGACACTGGGCACAGCAGTGGCCCACAGGAACTTCAGAGCCTTCCTAAATTCAGCTTCAGCTAGGAGACCTGAAAGGGTAAGCGGGTCTCTGGGCCTCAGAAAAGCCCCGAAGAGCTCTCTGGGTGCTCCAGTGGCTGGCCAGTTTGAAAGATGCTTAGAGCAGGTCATGCCAGGATCTATCGGGGTTCTTTGACAACTGGGAGCTATGCAGAACAGAGGGAGAAGACAGCTCAAAATACTGAGGTGCTCTTGCCATTTGCTAAGGCAAATGAGCAGCCTTCCCACGTGGGTCTAGGACACTGTCTGTGGAGATCACCTTTATTCACTCTTTATTGGACTAAACAGGTTTCTCCTGTCCTTGCAAAGCCCCCGTTCCTGTTCAGGAAGTGCTGGGTCTTGTGTCTAGGAAGATCCAAGAACAGAGGGACAGACTCTCTGGACAGTAGGACCAGGTCTAGAGTAAAGGGATGACTTTTGAGACAGAGTCTTGTATAGCCCACTCTGCCTCTGAACTTGCTATGTAGCCAAGGATGGCCTTGAATTCCATATTCTTTTTCTTCTTTTACCAACCTTCTGAGTACTAGGATGTAGTCACAGACCACTGTATCATCTCTTGGTCTCTCTTCTTTACTGTACAAAATGTTCATTTAAAAAATGTTTGGGGGCTGGAGAGATGGCTCAGAGGTTAAGAGCACTGACTGCTCTTCTAGAGGTCCTGAGTTCAATTCCCAGCAACCACATGGTGGCTCACAACCATCTGTAATGAGATTTGGTGCCCTCTTCTGACCTGCAGTCATACATGCTGTGTACATAATAAATAAATAAATCTTTTTAAAAAAAATGTTTGTACAGCTAGGCAGCAGTGGTGCACACCTTTAATCCCAGCACTTGGGAGGCAGAGCCAGGTGGATCTCCGTGAGTTTGAGGCCAGCCTGGTCTACTGAGCAAGATCCAAGACAGGCACCAAAACTACATGGAGAAACCCTGTGTTGAAAAAACAAAAAACAAAACAAAACAAAAAAACCCAAAAGTTTGTACACAAGACCGTTTTTGGGCCTGTATTTTGCTTATGCATTTATATTAGTCATATCTTAAGAGCTTTAGGTCAATGCATTTAATGCCACAGAGAAAACCCTAACTCAAGTATCTAGAAATATATAGGAAATACCTATAATAAATAAAATATTACCTGGAAGTACGACACATGAAGATGTTTTTGTTGTTGTTATTGTTTTCTTTTTTTGTTTTTTTGAGACAGAATTTCTCTGTGTAACAGCTCTAGCTGTTTAGAACTTGCTCCATAGGCCAGGCTGGCCTTGAACTTACAGAAATCCACCTACCTCTACCTCCTGAGTGCTGGGATCAAAGGTGTGCACTACCACCGCCCAGCCATGTGGAAAGGGTTCAGCCTGAAGTTAGGCCACATTCACACCTTGAGCTCAGTCTTCCGCTGTGTCTTCTCATGGCGATGGAGAGGTGAAGGACTCAGGCAGAGGGTCGGTGGTGTCTGACTCTCTAACTTGTCACACGCTGATGGAGTATATCCTCTTGAACGCTAAACTAAAGGCTGCTTTCAGAAGCCCCCAGAGCTGGTGGAAAGGTCTGATCCATAAGCACATTATGTAATTCGTGGTAACCAGGGCTTTACTAGTCCTGCATAGGGAACATGGGTTCTAGAGCTGGTGATGGAGCCAGGTGAGGACAGATGCTGGGGCCCTCGGTCTTTGGGGGGCATCTGAGCAGAGCCCTCCTTAAGGATGAGAAGCCATCACATTTCAATGCAGAAAGCCTCATCCCTCAGGAATGTCTGTGGCAGTGTCCACTAGGGGTGAATGCCAGACCCATACAACCAGAAGTTCCAGTGACTAGTGTGCTAAGAGGACCTGCATCTTGGGATGTGACCCTTCCTAGTATCACCCCACTCAACTTCCTTCTCAAACAGCTTGTAGTGGCTAGCAGTTATCGGTCATGCTTTCTGACTGGAGTAGATAGTTTTCCATTCACCAAGAGCTTCAGGCCACCATAAGGAGCAAACCAAAGTCAGAGGGAACAATGATGCCCAGTTACCAATCTTACAGTTTTTGTTAAAAACAAAAACAAAAAACAAAACAAACAAACAAACAAAAACTTTGGAGCTAGAAACCTAACTCAGTTGAGAGTTGTCCAGCATGCCAAATCCTTGAGTTCCTATGGTAGCACACACCTGTAATTCTAGCAAGCAGGGGATCAAGACAGGATGGTCAGAGGTTAAACATCAGTCTCAGCTACAGAAAATTTGCAGCCAGCCTGGAATACATGAGATCCTGCGTGGAAACAGCAAACAAATGTGTATTATCTGCTATAATATAGAGGAGCCTATAAACTATCCAGAGTAGGCAAATAGAGTCGGAAATTAGTTTAGTGATTATCAGGGAACATAGGGCAAAGGGAATTGGGAGATTGTAGTGATATTTTATCTGTGTACCCCCAATAAAACCTATCTGAGGATCAGAGGAAAAAGCCAGCCACTATAGTAAATACAGAAGTCAGGCGATTTCTAGCTCATGCCTTTAATCCTAGCATTCGGGAGGCAGAGATCCATCCAGATCTCTGTGAGTTGGAGGCTACACTGGGAACAGATCCAGGCATGGTGGCACATGCCTTTAATCCCAGCACTAACCAGGGAGGTCTTGAGGTCTGTACAGACAGACAGGAAGTGACAGAGCTGGGCAGAAAGAGGAAGTGATGTAGCTGGGCAGAGAGAGGAAGTGAGATGGCAGGGACAGAAAGGCATATAGGCATGGGTATACAGGAAGTAGGTCTCTTTGGAGGCTGAGGAGTTGGTTAAGGTGAGGTTGAATGTGGCTTGTCCTATTCCTCTAATCTCTCAGTTTTCACCCGAATATCTGGCTCTGGGTTTCTTATTAATAAGACCATTTAGCAATTCATCTTACAGGAGGTAAAGGGTCTCTTCCAAAATTGGGAAGATATTCTAAAGCTAGGAGTGATAATTGTATAACTTTGTGAATATTCTAAAAATAAAACCAACAGCAGCAAACCAAGGAGGCCTAGAGAGATGGCTCAGCAGTTCAGAGTTCTTGATGCTCCTCCAGAGGACCCAAGTTTCATTCTCAGCACCCTTGTAGGGAAGTTCACAATTGCCTGTAACTCCAACACCAGGGGAATTGACACCCTCTTCTGGTATCTCTGGGCACCTAGGTGCACCCCCCCAAACATGTGCACATGCCCTCCCCAATACTCACATACCTACAAAAAGTAAATCTTCATTTAAAAAAACAAAACAAAACAAAAAAAAAACAACAATGAATTGTGCAGGTTAAAATGGTAGGGGAAAAAAAACATGTAGCATGAATCTTAAAGGTACTTATTAATAAAAATCAAACCTGAGGCCAGTTATTGGGGTGAACTGGAAGACCAGAGAAGCAGAACAAGCCACAGCTTCCTCACCTTGCCAGTTCCTCAGCTGATCCTGTTTCCTCAGACTGGATGCCTCTGAGGCCTCATCCAGAATGAATCTCAGCTGAACTGCTGCTTGAGAGCCTGAAAGCTTAACCAGCCAAATGCTTCTAGTTCCTGGTCTTCAGGCCTTATATACCTTTCTGCTATCTGCCATCACTCCCTGGGATTAAAGGCTCACTTCTTGGGATTAAAGGTGTGTGTCACCATGCCTGGCTGTTTCCAATGTGGCCTTGAACTCACAGAGATGCAGAGGGATTTCTACCTCTGGAATGCTAGGATTAAAGGTGTGTGCTACCACTGCCTATCCTCTATGTTTAATATTGTGGCTGTTCTGTCTCTGATCCCAGAAAAGTTTATTAGGGTGCACAATATGTTGGGGAACACAATACCACTACATTTCCCCCTTTTTTGTCTAATATTTAAAAAAGCTTATAACTAATACAAGAAAAATTATATCCAATAAGTATATACAATATACACAGTCAAGATTACATTAATGATGTCTAGTCCATTAACATTTGACAGATTCAGACAAAAAACTCCATTAAATATAACAATGTCCAGTCCAGTAACATTTGATAAACTCAGACAAGAAATTTTCATTACTTATCTTATTTAAAACAAGTAGTTCCTTTTTAAAAGTAGATTCAAAAATTGACCTTTTTATCTTATCATATTCATATTCTCTCTTTTTTCTTTTCATAAAAGTTTCAATAATCTACCTTTTGTCATTTTTATATCTTCCCCTTTTTCTTTTCAGTGTAGATTCATGTACACTTTTTCAGTGTAGATAAATGATCTACCCATTTATCCTATTATTTCTTTATCTCTTTTTCTTAGAGTAGAGTCAATGATCTATCTCATATCTATATTCTCTTCTTTCTTTTTCTCTTTTTTTAAACAAAACCTCTGAATCTAATCTCCATGTTCAGCTTTTTTCCTGACCATTAACAATCAACAACTTGTAACCAACCATTGTAAACAATGACAATATCCAAAACTCATTAAATGACCAAAAACCTCCCGTCCCACCTCTTGGGAATGTGAGCATTGTTTTCTTAAAATTACTTCCTGCTTTCTGGGGGTGAAGACATCTTTAGGGAATCCTGAAAAGAAAAATTTGGGGTTAATAGTCAAGTCCTGTATCATTTGTCCAGTCGCTGCATAATGAGAAAGTGCAGGGCTTGTTTCAAGTTCTTGTTCAAGTAGTCTGTCAGGCTGGATCATCTCAGCTAGCCATCTTGAAATTGTCCTAAACAGTTTGTAGTCCCAAGTCTATCTTTTGGTGGTGTTAATCAGCTTAATGGTTTTCCCATAGTGTAGCAGGAATCTTAAAAGTTCTTATTAATAAAATCAAACCTGAGGCCAGTTATTGGGGTGAACACTGGAAGATCAGAGAGACAGAATGGGCCACAGCTAACCTCACCTGGCCAACTTCTCAGCTGGTCTTGTTTCCTCAGACTGGAAGCATCTGTGTCCTCATCCCAATAGCTCTCAGCTGAACTGCTGCTCAAAAGCCTGAAGCTTAACCAGCTAGAAGCTTCTAGTTTCTGGTCCTCACGCCTTATATACCTTTCTGCTTTCTACCACCACTCCCTGGGATTAAAGGCGTGAGTCACCATGCTTGGCTGTATCCTTAAACACATGGATTTCTGCCTCTGGAATGCTAGGATTAAAGGTGTGTGCTACCACTGCCTATCCTAAGTATCTAGTGGCTTTTCTGTTCTCTGACCCCAGATAAGTTTATTAGGGTACACAATATTTTGGGGAACACAATACCACCACATTTCCTCTCTTTTTATCTAAAATTTAAAAAAGCTTATAACCAATACAAGAAAAACTGTCTAATAAGTATATACAATATATACAGTCAAAAATTACATTAACAATGTCTAGTCCATTAACATTTGACAGATTCAGACAAAAAACTCTATTATATATACTAACAATGTCCAGTAACATTTGATAAATTCAGACAAAAATTTCATTACTTATCCTATTTAAAACAAGTAATTCCTTTTTAAAAGTATTTTTTCTTTCCATAATAGATTCAGTAATCTACATTTTGTAATTTTTATATCTTCCTCTTTTTCTTTTTAGTGTAGATTCAGTGATCTACCCATTTATCCTATTATTTATCTTTTTTCTCAGAGTAGATTTGATCTACTTCATATCTATATTCTCTTTTTCTTTCTTTCTTTTTTTTTTTTAACAAATCTCTGAATCTAGTCTCCTTGTTCAGCTTTTTTCCTGACCATTAACAATCAACAACTTGTAACCAACCTTTGTAAACAATGACAATATCCATAACTCATTAAATGACCAAAAACCACCCACCCCACTTCTTGGGAATGTGGGCATCTTTTTCTTAAAATTACTTCCCGATTTCTAGGGGTGAAGACATCTTTAAGGAATCCTGAAAAGAAAATTTTTGGGTTAATTGTCAAGTCCTGTATCATTTGTCCAGTTGCTGCAAAATGAGAAAGTTCAGGGCTTGTTTCAAGTCCTTGTTCAAGTAGTCTGTCAGGCTGGATCATCTCAGCTAGCCATCTCGAAATTGTCCTGAGCAGTTTGTAGTCCAAAGCAGCTTAATGGCTTTACCATAGTCCATGTGGAGTCATCTTTGTGGAGTCCTGTCTTCCTTTTGAAGATTTCAAAGTCGCTGTTAGGTGTGGTCATGGTTCCCTGCAGACCTTTTTTTTTTTTTTGGTGCCTCCTCTGTGGTTTGGAGCAATCGTAGTCTCATGTCTGTCTCTCAGAACCATGAACGTTCTTCTCTAGAAGAGAAAATCTTCACAGCAATTTCTCCCACCATTTGTCTTGCCAAACTTTTCTAAACTGACCTTTGCCGATGCTTTCTTGTAACACGATGGTCCTGTCAATTCTTTTCTGAACAAGTAGCGGTAAACCCTTTGTCCCAGGTAGCAGCAGCATCGCAGTCACCAACATGATGAGAAGAAGCCAGCAACTCAGAGCAGCAGCCGCTGACTCCATGGTCCCATGGCACCGTTTGTCGATGGTCCCCAGTCAGCTGGAGCTTCTCCTTAGCAAGCCTCCCAGGGATCCTCCTGCCTCTCCCTCCTTCAGCAAATCCTACCTGTATGTGGTATGCGGTATGCGGTGTGCCACCACAATCGGCAACGTGTAGCTTAGGTCTGAGCTGGGGCCTGAAAGGCCACAGGCAAGTGACTTTTTCCAGAATTTGTACCACAAACGTTGGGCGCCAGATGTAACATGAATCTTAAAGGTACTTATTAATAAAAATCAAACCTGAGGCCAGTTATTGGGGTGAACTGGAAGATCAGAAAAGCAGAGCAAGCCACAGCTTCCTCACCTTGCCAGTTCCTCAGCTGATTCTGTTTCCTCAGACTGGATGCCTCTGAGTCCTCATCCAGAATGAATCTCAGCTGAACTGCTGATTGAAAGCCTGAAAGCTTAACCAGCCAAATGCTTCTAGTTCCTGGTTGAAGACCTTATATACCTTTCTGCCTTCTGCCATCACTCCCTGGGATTAAAGGCTCACTTCTTGGGATTAAAGGCGTGTGTCTCCATGCCTGGCTGTTTCCAATATGGCCTTGAACTCACAGAGATGCAGAGGGATTTCTACCTCTGGAATGCTAGGATTAAAGGCGTGTGCTACCACTGCCTATCCTCTATGTTTAATATTGTGGCTGTTCTGTCTCTGATCCCAGAAAAGTTTATGAGGGTACACAATATATTGGGGAACACAATACCACTGCAATACCATTTTCAAACTAAGGAATTTGGACAGCATGTGTAAAACAATTCATGAGCCAGGAGGTGGCCGCACGCACTTTTAATCCCAGCACTCGGGAGGCTGAGACAGGCGGATCTCTGAGTTTGAGTGAGTCTCAGTTCAGCCAGCACTACATAGTGAAAACCTGTATTGAAAAACCAACCAACCAAGCAAGCAACAAACAAAGAAAAAAAAATTATGTAACCATTCTCAGATATCGCCTTGGTGATGGTGACATTATTATTGCTCTCTTGAGATTATAGTATGAGGGGATAAACAAATGAGTAATTGATAATGGTGTTCAAATTCATCATCCCCTTTATCTTGAGGAGCTAGGAGTTTAGAATATAGAAAAAAGAAGAGACTGTTGCACATAGAAGTGGCTAAGTTCAACCAGCAGGATGCATCTCTATCTGCTTGTCTATCAACTTCTGAGATCTGTTTGTTTGTTTTTGGATGCAGGGTCTTGATTTGTAGTCCAGACTGCCTCCAAATCTTTTTTTTTTTTTGTTGTTGTTGTTTTGTTTTGTTTTTCGAGACAAGATTTCTCCGTGTAGTTTTGGTGCCTGTCCTGGAACTCGCTTTGGAGACCAGGCTGGCCTCAAACTCATAGAGATCCACCTGGCTCTGCCTCCTGAGTGCTGGGATTAAAGGTGTGTGCCACCACTGCCCAGCTGGCTCCAAGTCTTGATCTTCAAGTCTCAGCCTTCTGACTGCTGGGATTTGCAAGCGTGTACTAACACACCTGGCTAACATCCTACATCTTAAAGGCAATGGCCAGCTCACAGAAATGAGCATTCTAACTTCATAATACCCAGAGTGTGACACAGGGCTTCTTAGGAAAACAATTGCCCACAAATCTGGGACAGAAGATGTAGTTAAAAAAAAAATCCTGGAACACTTGGTCATGCCAGATGGTAAAGATGCTACAAAGACTCCAGGAATGGATTGAATCACTCTGGAACAAGCTTTAACAGGTTTCAACTCCTAAAGATAGGACAGTTTGAGTATTGATAGTAATTTCTACAATTACCACCGCCCGACTTGATTGGATCTAAAGGCCGGACTTGATTGGATCTAAAGGCCGGATGATACAAGCCTTTCATCCAGACCTTGAGGCTGGAAGACACACCTTTAATCTGAGCCCCGCCTTCTGCTGGAAGCCTATATAAGGACAGGGAAGGAGGAATAGGCATCATTCCTTCTTCGCCTGCTTGCTCTCATCTGGTCAGCACATCCATTCCTTCACTGGCATTGGAGCCTACTTTGGGATTTCAGCGTGTACAGAAGACCAGCTGAGACACCCTATCTTGTGGACTGAACGACTACTAGATTCTTGGACTTTCCATTGACAACTAGCTGTTGTTGGACTGCAGCCTGTAAGTCATTCCAATAAATTCCTATCTATCTATCTATCTATCTATCTATCTATCTATCTATCTATCTATCTATATGTATATATACATATATGTATGTATATGTATGTATGTATGTATGGAGAGAGAGAGAGAGAGAGAGAGAGAGAGAGAGAGAGAGAGAGATTGATTCATTTCATAAGTTCTGTGACTCTAGAGAACTCTGACTAATACAGGAGACGTGGCCCTGGAGAAGCTGCGGCCTTGGTGGAGAAAGCCCATCATTGTGGGGGTGGGCTTTGAGGTTTGATATGCTCAAGCTACTTTCGGTGTCACAGACACAGATCACTTCCTGCTGCCTGTGGATTAAAGATGTAGAATTTTCAGCTCCTTATCCAGCACCATGTCTGCCTGCCTACTGCCATGTCCCACCATAATGATAATAGACTGAACCATTATCAGTGTGGAGGTAGCCACTAGTTAACCATAGAGGCCAGACAGTAGTGGCTTACACCTTTAATCCCAGCACTAGGGAGGATCATGCCTCTGATCCCAGCACCTGGAAAGCTGAGGTCCTGTCCCTAGCCATCTTATATTCCTGCCTCCACCTCCCAGGTGGTGGTGTCAAAGGCATGAGCCTCTCATGTGCTGGTATTAAAGGAATGTGCCACCACTGCCTGGCCTCTATGGTTAACGAGTGGCTAGTTCCACCTTCTGATCTTCAGGCAAGCTTATTTGTCAGAACACACACACAAAAAAAAAATCACATACTACCACCCAATTAAATGTTTTCCTTTATAAGAGTTGCTGTGTGCTAAGCAGTGGTGGTGCATGCCTTTAATCCCAGCACTCAGGAGGTAGAGCCAGGCAGATCTCTGTGAGTTTGTGGCCAGCCTGGTCTACAGAGTGAGATCCAGGACAGGCACCAAAACTACACAGAGAAACCCTGTCTCGAAAAAGTTGCTGTGGTCATGGTGTCTCTTCACAGCAATTTAAACCCTAAGACATGAGCTTGTGTGATTTTCTGAGAGGTCAGAAGAGGGTGTTAAATCTCCTGGGACTGGAGCTATGGATGGTTGTGGGAGAGCAACAAGTGCTTTTAACTTCAGTAATCTCTCTAGCCCAAAAATTCTCTCTCTCTCACCTTCCCTCCCTCCCCTCTTCTCCCCTCCCCATCTCTTTCTCTCTGTGATAGCTCTCAGGAAACATTTCCCAGTAGATTTCACCTCAACAATGCTGTTCTCTTCTTAAGCACCATTAATTTCTCAGTTCCAGCCAAACAACACTGAGTATCTCAGCAAAGCCAAGGTTTCACTTTAGCAGTTCTTGTTATTCAAAGCTGATTGTTCAGCCCCAGCTAACCAGAACCACAGAGTCTTAATTCAAAATGACAGGCGGTCCTGATAGTCTTTAAATGTCCCTCCGAAACTTCACAAGCCAGGCTTCCATCGTCTGCAACACTCTCAACGTTATCTTCCCAGCTCCTTGGAACAACTGACTGAGCTCTCAACACTCTGTGGCTTTTCTAGCCCAAAGTTCCAAGGTCCTTCCACAATCCTCCCCAAAACATGACTAGGTCTGTCACAGTAATACCCCACTCCTGGTACCAACTTGTCTTAGTTTGGGTTTCTATTGCTGCAATGAAACACCATGACCAAAAAACAATTCGGGGAGGAAAGGGTTTATTTTGCTTATACTTTACATCACTGTTTATTCTTGAAGGAAGTCAGGACAGAAACTCAAACAGGGCAGGATCCTGGAGGATCCAGGAGCTGTTGTAGATAGAGGCCATTGAGGGGAGCTGCTTACTGGCTTGCTCCTCAGGGCTTGCTCAGCCTGCTTTCTTACAGAACCCAGGACCAGCATCCTAGGGATGGCACCACCCGCCATGGGGTAGGCGTCCTCCATCTATCACTAGTTAAGAAAAATGCTTTACAGGTTTGCGTATAGCTGGGTCTTACGGAGGGAGGCATTTTCTCAGTTGAAGTTCCCTCCTTTCAGATAACTCCAGCTTGTGTCAAACTGACAAACTACCGCGTACACTTGCACTCTTTCTTTCCCTTGTTCGCTCCCTTCACCCCGATCTTCTCAAATTTCCCGGGAGTCCCGCCCCCAGGCCCCCGGGCTCTAGCCTATGACGCTTCAACGGAAGTGACATCAGCCCAGGTCGGTGAGGCACGGGGGCGTTTCCGGCGGCGGTGCTGGCGGCTGCTTCTGTGATTGTGGAGGTGGGCGTGAGGCCCCTTGGTGGTGTTTTGGCGTCGTGGGATCGGCTTGGTGTGGCGTGCCGCCCAGGCTGGGGTAGACGGTGGGAGGTGAGCGCGAGGGAGGCCGGGTGCTCGCGGGGCTCGTTGGCTGGCGCTTCCGGGGTGGTCAACTCGGTTTGCTTTTTAGGCTGCGGGCTTCCAGGCCTTGTAGAGCTTTATATTGGCAGGCAGGCAGGGACTGGTTGTGTGTGCGCGTGTGTGTGCAGGATGTGTGTGGCAGGCAGGAACTGGGGTGTGTGTGTGCGCGCAGGCGCGCATGGAGTACTCCCTGGGTTCCGTGTAGAGGTAGCCCAAGGATTTGGGTTTGAGGTGGGAGTCCCGAGATAGAGATGGCAGTTAGCGGCCTGGTCTCTCTCAGGCCAGCTTAAGTTGCCACTGCGACTTGCACTCATTCTCATTCTCTCTCTCTCTCCCTCCCTCCCTCTTCCTCCCTCTTCCTCTCTCCATCCCTCTCTCTCCCTCCCTCCCCCCTCTCTCTCCCTCTCTCTCCCTCTTCCTCTCTCCATCCCTCTCTCCCTCCCTCTCTCCATCCCTCTCTCCCTCCCTCTTCCTCTCTCCATCCCTCTCTCTTCCTCCCT